GCTTAAAATTGCTTGCTCCCCATGACCTACCTACCTTTCCTTCCTTCCTTCCTTCCTTCCTTCCTTCCTTCCTTCCTTCCTTCCTTCCTTCCTTCCTTCCTTTCCTTCTTTCCTTCCTTCCTTCCCACGCCTTAAATTTTTCTTCTAAAATGTTTTAGAACTACTTTGTTATAATTAGCCTTGGCTAGTATAATGTTGGATTTTTTTTAAAAAACAAACATCTTGATACATATGTGCCTTGCAATATTCTTACAGTAAATATTTTTTACTATGGACACCAGTGAGTCCAAAGATACTATCCTTGCTTCCCATTCAGCTCCCTGGGTCACAAGAACTAATTTCTAATATTTCCCTTCTAAAAATAAATGAATGAAATGGACTCATATTGGTCTAAATAAGTATTTTTTTTAAAGGTATATAATTGCTTGCCAGATTATGATGGAAATTTCTTCATCTCAAAAATAGACAAGAGTATTCTGAGAAATGTCAGCAGATGGGAAGAAACAAGTTTGTTTTAGGTAAATGGTATTTTATAGTTTATCTCATGGCCGCAGTTTTGGGAATGAACAAACCTTCCCAATGTCATTCAATTTTTTAAGAAAATAAAAGGACTCCAGTTAAATAAAATTGCTAACTGATCCTTTTATATTTTATAAATTTTATATTTTAATCTTCCATTTCTCTTGGTACTTTCAATGAAATATATTTGAAAAATACAAAGAAATTCAAATTAATGAATTATTGTAATATGCAGCAGTAGTATATTTCTTTTTATTGATTTATTCAATTTCTATAGGTGCCCAACTTAACCAAGTGACTGGGTGGCTTACAATTCTAAAATTCTAAAACAATTTTTTTTAAAAATTAAACACTTCTACAAAATAAGTACAAATAGCAGTCATGATAATTAATCAACTAATAATGAGATCTACATCTGCTCCATAAACATTAAAAATTTACATATTTAATTTATATCCCACCATTATTTTTATAAAGAATTTAAAGTGGCGAACGTATCTAATATTTCTTCTAGTTTCTCCATTACAATATCCCTGTGAGGTCAGTTGGGCTGAAATAAGAGTGACTGGCCAAGCTTACCTAGCTAGCTTTCATTGCTAAGGCCGGGCTTGAACTCTGTCTCCCTATTTCTAGCTTCGTGTCTTAACCACTAGTCCATACTGGCTCTGTGATTTCTGATGTTTGCATTCTGTAATAAATGCAAGATAATCTGAAATTCCTAAAACTACAGTAGTTCAATAGTACATTTAGTTCATTATTGTGTACATTGAATTTTATATTTTGCATTCTAGGTATGTCCCCAACTGTGGATAGCAACACTTCTAAAACAAGGAAATGATCCTAACAATTATTGATTTGCTAAAGATGCCAGAATAGTAAAGGCACATGCTCTATTATCTAAAAATGTAGCCCAAAGTGAAAAGAAAAACCTGAACAACTGTTGCTTCTAATATTCAAATACAGAATATCAAATTTATCCTTATATTATATAATAAGCTTACTGATATAAGGTATGCTTAGAGGAGAGTCTATGCTCTATCATACAATACAACCAGGAAATACAAGATGTGTGTTTTATAAAATGCAAATCCCCCAAATAAACAAACTTCCATCTAAAAAAGAAATAGTGTAAACATTTCCTTACTTCTAGTAGGGAAGTGAATTTATCTTCACTGAAAAACACTGGAATGAGAGCGCAATAAAATCTAAAGTGCAGTTTGAAATATTTTCCAAACATCATTATGAAAAGATTTCAGCTTTTTCTCTTAGCCCAATTCTGTTATGCTATATAAGTAACTGCATCTAGGGGTGGGATTCAAATTTCTTAACCATCGGTTCTGTGGGTGTGGCTTCGTGGTCATGTGACTATGTAAATATAAATATTTGTGAAAATATTGAATTTTTTTAAATAAAAAAACAACTTTTACCCAAAATCAGGCAAAGAAGGCAGGCAGATTGAGTTGCTCACAGAATCACAGATTCACTTACAGATCTATCTGCAGTTTATCTATCTGCCTGAGTCTGCACTGAAAAATAGAAGCTTCAGTCCTAAGGAAGGTTCAGCTCTGCTTTTAGATTAGCTAGAAAGCAAGAAATCCAACAATTTCCTGCTTTCTAGCTAATCTAAATCTCCCAGCACAGCAGAACAGCTGATGGTGGGGGTGGTGTGGGGGAGGAAAAATAGCAACTTAGCAGACAAGTTTGATAACTCAGGTAAGGAGTGAGTGGGCGGGCCAGGCCAGCCAATGGTGCGATTTGCCAGTTCTCCAGCAGGTAGAATCCCACCCCTGGTGAGAGTGCGTTTTGGGTGCATGTGTAGACCATTTCCTAAAAACCAGCTGTGCTGCCCTGCATAGGTACACAGCGTTTGAAAATCCTCTCCTGCTTTTTCAACCTCAGTGTGCTGTGTGCTGAGATTGAAAAAGCAGGAAATAAAGGACAGCCAGGAGCCTGGGCAGGTGGCTGGGCCAAACAGAGCAGCAAACACTGAACCCGTTCGGTGTCTACTGCTCTTCAGAGCTACCGGTTCTATAGAACCGGGCCAAACCGGAAGCATCCTACCCCTGACTGCATCCTATATTGTTGATAGTAAAGATCAATGCATATTCATTCACTATCCATCCTTTTCAGATGATACATGGTTTATCAGATATTTGATTGATTTTAAATACTGTACTAGAAATATTCAGGCTTTTTAAAATACAGATATCTGGAAATTTTAAATAAAAGGTCTGAATCCTTACTATATCTATGTCACTGGCAACTACTACTGGTAGTATAGTATCCATTAGATTAGATCTGAAATTGCTCCTGTCTGGAGTTCTTATAGCAATATATTGGAAATGCAGCATTTTCACTCTTCTCTGTAGGCTTTAACACTGCTATCAAAATCTATACAATTATACCCCCCCCCATTGGGAGTTCATGCTGTTTTTTCACATAGCTAGACAAGTAGGGAAAAAATGAAGTAAAAAGGGTGTGAGAGAAAAATGCAAATTTGAAAAGGGAAATTCAAGGGGAGAAAGAAGAAAAGGCAAATCTGAATGAAAAGTCAGAAAGTAAAATGATTGGAAAACCTAAAGAAATATTTCCTAACTGAGGACAAGAGCCTGTTTATGCTGTTCTTTATTTTTTGCAGTTTTTAATTTCTCCTATTTTGTCCTAGGTGGCAGCATAATTTGCATTATTGGTTTGCAAATGAGATTAATTATCCTCAATAAGCCCCAGTGCAACTTCTTTTCCCTTGTGAGGTGACAGCAAGCAAAATTTTTAAAGTGTCTTCCCTGTCTAGTTGATTTTTATGGCAATGATGACAAGGTTAGCAAGGCTAATTTTACTGTAATTGTTACATGGGGGTAGTTTAGCCTAAGCACAGTAAATGTATTCAGAGCCTAACATAACATCCTCTTAATATTGATCTTTATACTTATACCTGAAATAGCATTAAATAATGTGAAGACTGGTTATTTTAAGGATAGACTTAGTCTACCTACTAAATACTTAGGATCTAAATATGAAATTCACTGTTTATGGTATTAAAGTATAATCTTTCATTCGGCTACTAGAAAATAATAATATTGAAGGGAAATTGCCTTTTCCCTAATCTGATTTTTTACAATAAAACATACAGTATATCAAACATATATGCAGATTATATACTGTGTCATATATTGAGCATATTTGTAGTAATAAGTGATGAAAGATTGGTTTCATTGAATTTATGAATGCATAATATCTGAATGTTTCCTGAATTTCATCCCAGAATTTCTTTATACTTAAAGAAGACTAGAAGCTGTAATAAAAACTTTTTTAAAAACTTTTTAAAGGAAAATAATAGATTGCACCACTGTTTAATTCCTACCCATACTTGAATGCAAATGATTGCAGTGCACATTTACAAAGGCATAAAAATGACATTGAAATTAATATAGAATGGCAATATTATGTGTTCACAGAATTGCAGCAATCACAGGCTGAATAAAAGTTGTGAGTGCCATATTATTAATAAAGTAAATAAAAATTTAGGTTGCATCATTGTCAACATTTTTTCCCAAATCATGGCAATTTACATTTATTAGGACTTGTTTTCAGTACTTCACAAAGATCTAAACACCGCAGTTCAAGAAAGGGATTAGAATTCAAGCCTTAGGAAGAAAGATTCAGGAAACTAGAATGTTTAAATTTGGGGTGAAGTGGGAGGAATATAAATATCTGGAGACTTGTTATAGAAAAAAAAAGTCTTTATTTAGTCTTATGGGATATATAGTAGTATTCCTGGTATAGGAAGTAGGTATTAGGGAAATTTCTGGATTCCTTTGCTAGATGTATTGAAACAATGGCTGGACTGTCATCTTTAATACAGATTATACAGAACAGAAACGATTTGAGTGCCATAATGATGTCCATTTGATATTTGATTCAGTGGTGAGTCATGTTCAGTAAAAATTATTCTAAGCAACCAAGCTATTTAGTCTTCATAACTTTTTTTTCTTAAGACAATGCTTTCTAATCTTGCTTGCTCAAAATTCCTTTTTTTAGTACAACCATGATTTGCTACTAGAGCAAATCAAGTTATATTTAAATTTAATATGAAATCAGATTTTGAACACAGTTGCAAAGGTTAGTTAAGCCTGCCCAACTTGAATACCCTCTTCATAAACTGGATTATGGTTTCCATCACTGCGATCAGCAAGTATTAAAATTATTAAGGACGCTATTAACCCGATGCAATTCCGCAAGGCCTTCGCAGTTGGACTGCGGAGACTCGCTCGGAGAGCCGGTTTCCTTAACTTGACAGTACCTTCGAGAAATCAGCGTTAAGGGCGGGAATCATTAGGCACGCCTAAGGGAGTGCTCAGGCCTTTAAAAGCAGCCTTTCTTCGGGGGCGAGAGGCGGTGATGGTTTTCCCCAGCGAGTAGTCTCTATTGGCTCCTCCCCCAGTTTAGCCCTATATCGTGCAGCGAGGAAGCGGCTTTTGGAGAGAAGGCGAAGCATCGTGGTTCTCGAGCTGGGTGGGTTGTTGTACACCACAGTTTTTCCGCGAGTTGAGGCACCTCCCACATCTTTAGCCCGCTTAGAGCGTTTTTCCTCCGGCAACCGGTGAAGCGCCAAGTTTGCTGCTCATTTCCGAAACGGCGAGGAGCAAACTTTCAGCATTGATATTGACGGCGCTGTGGGCAGCTCGGCTGAGTCTCTTAAGGAAAGTGAAGCGGAGTAGCAGCGTCGATTCAGAAAGCGGAAGACAGGCGAGCCTCAGGTGCGTAAAGATGGGGCGGTGGGACTGTGAAGGCAAGCAAAATAACCGCTGAAGTAGACAACTGGGAGCAAGGATCCGCCAAGCACATTCGGAAAGGACGCTATTTCGTTTCCGAAATTTGTGTCGCCTTCTTCGCTCTGGGTCTTCTGGGGGTTGGCGTTCAGCTCCTCGTGAAACTTACCGTTAGGCGGGAATGGAAAATAGGTATTCATCCACCTAAGTGTCCGTGCGTGCGGCGCTCGTGCTTTGTATCAGGTTTTTCTCCACACAGGTGTGAAATCTCATTCCCCGCGCCCTCTCGCTTTTATTTATTATTTGTTTAAATCTGCGCAATAGGCGACCTGCGGTTAGCGTTGGTTATTGACGAAGCTCGGAGTTCCTGCAGTTTCCGAGGATTCTCTCTTCCTAGTTGAATCCGAAGCAGAACCATTTGGGAAACGGAGGGGGGCGGGAATGTTAAAGCTCAAGCGGGCCTCTTGAATTCTTTGCAATTGAAGAAAGAGGAAAAAGAAACAATGCGACAACGAATCGCGGCCTTTATTTAAAAGAATTTAAAGGAGGAAAGTTGAGAATTGGTGCGTATGTTTTGCTAGTGTCTGGTATTGAATTACTCTTGAAAATATATAAAAAGGGTAGCATCTGAAGTTCCCATAATGGAAGGTAGTAAGAGAATTATCAGGAAAATTAAGGACTTTTATATCCAATGCTGTAAGTATCCCGGGGTATCCTTTAACGAGTAAGAAAAATCTATTCAAGAAATGGTTAGAGCAGAATGTCATTACTATAAAAAAGTATATTGTTAGTACAAGAAAATTTCCTCCCCCCAACAGCTAGATGTGATGCTTCCTTTATGATAGATGTCATTGCTGGAAAGTCTAGAAGAAACTTTGTTGAACACATATATTATTTGATGTTACCTCTGTAAAGTCTTTTATGAATCTTAAGGAGCTCTGCAAATTTTCCATTGATGCTTATTTGGGCCTAATGCAAAGTATACAAGATATATCAGTGTTATCTACAGTAAGGAAAACTAAAAGTTCAGGCTCCAAAAAAACTTGTCAGTTTTTAAAAACTAACTGGATATCTTTCGCAACAGCCATTCATAGTAAACTATGTTGGCATTCTCTAACTTGGTATCTTTTAAAGTATTGAGCTACATTTTCTATAATCTCAGTGAGATTAGCACAATATCAGAGGTGAACATGTCAATGCTTTAACATAAGAATATATGAAAATGCTGTTATGTCAAACCCATCTATCTAGTCTAGCACTGGACTTTCAAAGTGTTAAAGCTGGCTTCTCTTCTAAGATGTCCTATACTTTTTTGAGTGACACATGGTAAAAAGACTGTTAGTGCAGAGACACAAACTACTTAAAACTAAAGGATGTTGTGGTTTTTATCATATGAATGATGAATTCAGGTCACAACAGTGGATTGAGGTATAGCAGTGCATATGCTATATTCAAAAAGCTAAATTGGCTTTGGGGGAGAACTTTTTAAAGGACTTTCAGAATGCAGTGGATGTGCGGTTGTAAGTATTGTAATCATTTTGCTTGATAAAGAAGGCTCCCATCATAAGCTAACAGCAGTTGACACTTGAGGAAATAGCAATTGGGTTTATACGATTGGTTCTATTTACTTATCTTAGTAAGAATATATCTGGTAGCTAGAATGGCCTTAAGAAGTGATCCTTAACTAAGTGATCTGAAAAGTTGGATTAAGGATTTAAGATCACAGTGCCATCACAACTTCGCAGTTTGTGTTTTCCTAATCTAATCCAGTAAATGGAATTTATAAATGGAGATAACTTTAGGATAGGTGAGCAAAGAAGCAAAAATCATACTTCTGAAAAAGAAGAGATTATGTGGATTTGTAAATCAGTTTTTCTGCTGATTTCTCTGCACAGATAATAATCTGTTTTAGATTTACAGGTCTGAAGATGTGGAATTCCTTGTGGATGCTGAATTCATTTGTGGATGCTGGTAAAGTATTTGTCAGTATATTTTTACCAGTTTGACACTGTTTGAATAAATAAACTTCACTGCAATGAAACAATTTATTTAAAATTAGTTTGGATACTATAATGTAGTCTTTGTGGGTTTGCATTTTATACAAGATTGGAAACTTCAGTTGATGCAAGACATAGCCATAAGAATGCTGCTAAACATAAAATTTTGGGAATATGGCATATTTTTATTTTATAGTATGATTTTGTTTCCAGTACCAGTTCAAAGCACCCTAAAGCCAAAATTGTTTGGCTTAATTGTCTGGCTCACCCCCTGAGAACATCTACATTTATCAAGCCCTATTGAACTATTGATAAGAGATCCTCGATGGGGATTACCAAGGCAAATATATTTTCATGGTAGCCCCAAATCCAAGATGTTGCTAGGTCCATTTTATGCATTTAAGCATACGTTGTAGGGGCATAGATTGACCAGATTTTATGTCAACTATAAGAGGAAAATATTTGCTGCAGGGATAGCTATCATGTGCCAAAGGGATTTGATCCTATGCTACATCAGCTGCATATTGGTAGTCCTCAGTTTATGCCCCTTCTTTCAGTGACTGTTCAAAGGTATAGCAGGACTGAAAAAAATAGGCCTATGACCAGTCCTCAAAGTTTCATCCATTACAACACCTCCATGGTAATGTGATCATGATCTGGGCACTTGGATGTTCGCAATTACAACATTGCAGTGAGCTGCAATCACATGATCACCATTTGAAACATTATATGACAGCTTCTCAGAAGCAAAGTCAATGGAGACTTGGCAAGGAAGGTTGCAAGTTGCTCCAATAAGTCCCCCCAGCTTGCACTCCACCCTCTGCCCCATTATTTTCCTGCACTCATGTGGTATCACAGTGCCCCCCCCCAGCACACTTGTATTCACTTTCACCTATCTGACCATAATTACCACCACCACATGGCACTCCTACACTTCCTAGCTGAGGCTCCCACTGCTTCCTGCTTAATAATCTCACATATTGGGGTTCAGACAGCAATCAACTGCTGGGATTGTCATTAAGCAATGCAGTTATGTCACATTGCCATTTACAATTGTATCCCTTAGTATTCCTGTATTGAAACAGATAGCAACAAGAACAATAACTTACTAAAGTTTTTGTAAGAATGTCAGTATTAAGGTGGGCTTTATGAAGCATTCTGAATCTTCAGAATATGATGGATGTTATATGTATTAAATTATAGTATTAGTTTTCTTTAGTTTGGTGCGGTCCAGATGTTAAGAACCTTGGTTCCCATAATTCCCATCTGCCGGGCAGTTTGGGGATTATGGTTTGGTCCAGCACTCACTGAAATAAATGAAAATGCATTCATATATATATATATTCATTCCAATATCTGCATAGTTCATGTAGCTTGATAATAGAATATTTATACAATAAATGGGTGTATTGGCCTTTAAAGTGCCTCAAGATCCTGGTCATTTTAAATTTCATAGAAATTTTGATAACATTCTTTGGCGCTATTCTTTATATCTTTCCACCCCCACATCCCAACTTTATTTTCTTGGATTGATAAAACTAACTGCCAATATCTCTGTGGTTTACTGTATATATGTGGTGTATTTCCAAATTCAGTAGACTTACCACTTTTTCTTCACAAAATCTTAAGACTTCAATTCAAGCCTTGTCAGAATATTTATAAATTTGCTGTGTATTAATTTTAAATATGACTATCAGTAGGTTACTTGTACAATTATACAGTGCAATATGCTATGATGTCATATTGTACAACTATATGCTTTAAAACAAAACAGAACAAAGCATTAACACTTAGAGATGATGGTGAACGTATGGCACGCGTGCCAGAAGTGGCATGCAGAGCCACTTCTGCCGGCACGTGAAAGGTGACTGGAAGAGCCCCATTATGCATGCGCACGTGCACCACCGCCCGACAGCTGATTGTCAGGTTTCTGGTGCACATGAGTGGGGGACGGGGATGTACGGAGATGCATGCAGGGGGTCTCGCATGCATGCACAGGGGGTGTGGGGGATCCCAGCATGCATTGCCTTCTGGGCACTGGCATGTGAGCAAGCATGAGTGAGAGCACAATTTTTGGCATGGGAACTGAAAAATGTTTGCCATTAATGACATGGAGCATTTCCTCACTAGTAGTTTAGTATCTTGTAGTGTCACTCAACTATTGTTGCAATTATACTCACTATACTGTTCTAATAGTACAAATGAAGGTTGGATAACTGTTGAGAACACTAAAAATCACTAGTGGAAAATGACCATGTGTGACACCCTTCTCCACAAATACAATATTTTTTGTCTGGGGTTCCTGCAAAACACCTTTAAAAAGAGCAGAATGTGAATAGTACCTTAAACCACGGACCAAGTACTCTAGCACCACTTCCTGTATAGTACAAATGATTCCCCCCCCCAAACGCTTAATAGTCATGTAAGGCAGGATATTTGAGTGTCAAGAAATATTGAATAGGGAGGGAGAAACTTTTCTTTCCAGTTACGATTGCCCTGAAAATTTTCTGCCTATTTATCAATTCAGAAAAAAAAAATTCAGTGGAATGAATGAATTCCTTTCCCTTCAGTTTGATGTTACTCCTAGGAAAACTATTTAGTGGTACAGAATGGGATAATCATTGCTTCTGCAATGGAAATTCCCTGAAAATCCCTGCCACATGACTGTTACGAGAGAAAAAAAAAACCCTTCTGTACTCCAGAGATTTGCTGTAAATGATCTAACTCATGATTTCTCCTGAAAATCATTCGCCTTGGTAGATAACTGGCTTAAATCAGGATTAAGCTATTTTGGAAAATCTGCTTAAGTAGAACTGAAGCAGAGTTTATTTATGGACTAAAACCATTACCTATATCACTGAAAGTGGTGAATGAGAGCAAAAATGCAGACAAATAAGAAACAAGAAAAAGTATTCTTGCCAGATCCTTATCAGATTCAGTAGTACAAAATAAAATACATATAAACATTTTTTCCTCACTCCCAAATAACCA